GTGAAATCTCTAAAATCTCCCAAAACCCCCTCTGATAATAATAGAAGATGTTTCTTTGTCAGTGAATAAAATTGTTCGCAAAATGTTTCGATTTTGGTTTAGATAGTTGTCATCGGTGTAAATTTGAACACTTTAGCATTTTGTTTTTAACGTTATAGATAGATAATATTTTAGAACAAGAAAATGAGTTGAATCAATTATTCAATATGTCCTAGATGTGATTATAAATTTATGGACGACCTTGAGCGACGCTAAAGTGACCTTGAGGGTGTCCACCTAATAACCAGGACGAAATGAGGGTGTGAGGAATTGGGATTATGATTTTCAGTTGATGGTTAAGGTTTAGGAATTAGATTTAGGGTTTTCATTATGAACTGAGATCAACTGAAATGCCAAAGCTCTATTTAGTCGAATGAATAAATGAATTTCGCACCAAAATCTGAGAACTATTATCTAAAAGTAGATTTCATGTTTGTATATCTGTGCATATATTTGAAGTGTTAGACGTAGTGTGAAATAACTTTGAATGGGACTTATCCATTTTTGATATTTAAAACAATCAATAATGTGTAGATGCTTCAATTTTCATCATAAAAGTAATGCCTCCATCAACGCTGTTACTTTAGATAGTGAATGGTGAGGAAATAGCTTTTTCTCAACCATATTACACTCTGTCCTCTCTGACCATGACTTGTATTAAGAAAGAAGAAGAACACAACCGGTAAAGTATTTTTACCTATAGCTTGTTCCCACTCATAAGTGTTTGTAAATTCTTTCACTTTGGATATAAATATCTAAATATTTGACTAGTTTCTATTTAGATATGTATCTCCTGAACTAATGCTCCGATCTTCTTTAAAGATACACCTTTCTCAATATAATTCTGATTATACTTAACAAGTGAATATAATATACGAGTACACTTGTAGAATGTACCTTATTAGAGTTTAAACTGTTTCTGTTGGATCAAAATATCTATCTGATTATCATATACTATAAATAACATAATAGAAAAGTACAATGAGACGAAGACTTTACTCTTTTTAATACATTGCTCCAATTAGAAATCGGTCGAATGATAAGTGTTCTTGATCGGTCAAGAAATGACTTCTATTTCTAACGTATGAGATATTACTGATAGGATCGACAGATCCTGAGTTCGAATCTCGCGGGGTGGGATCGTGGATGCACACTTCTGAGGAGTTTCACAATAGGACGAGACGGTCGTTCAAGTGATTCCAGGTTTACCATGATGATCTAGCTTCAATTGAATCATAATCCCAACTATTAGAATTACTATAATATCCACAAAACTCGCTTCTTATATATATTCCTGATTCTGTTTATCGAATAATCTTCATTTTGTTTTCTCAGTCTGTAAGCGGTTTTGTTCATATATACGACGATCGCATATCAATATCGAAATTGGACAATACACGTTACAAAATCTATTCGTAAGTAAGTAATATGTTCAACAATGACGACTTGATTCAAACTGATAAGCGACGGATACTTTAGTAGAAAAAGTGTTCAACATTTCTATTGTGTTAATCATATCACAAACTATAGGGGGGGGAATGACTTTTTTCTGTTAAATTTATATCAGAATATACTATTACATACAATTATATTCTGTAGTATCTAGTGCCATGTTAAACCAACATGGATTATTCTAACTTCTGTAAAGATCTATTTATTCATTGTTCTCTAATTACATTTTTACCTTGTCAATTATTTGCTTATTAATGTTGACTATTTTTATATGAGCACATGTTTGTGCGTTGATTAATCTATCCATCGACCCCAAATGCCTTGGTACGGCCGAGAGTGGGGAGAGTCCACTCGCTCTCTCGAAATGCTCTCACATGGCCACTCGTATATAGCCTCTGCCGGGGAAGTCCTACTCATTGCCTTCTCGTAGCATTACTGTTGTTTACGAAAATGAGAGGACGAAAAGCGAATGTCCGGCACATGAGCTCCAGTATCCTGAAGGAATAAATGGCGTATAACCAATCGTTGGTCACTGGCTATCGTGAGACTGCATCTCCTTATATTGATCCACTTCCTTGTGGATCAGACCTTCAGGTCAAAGGCTACGGGTGTGGCCCCTAAAGAAAACCATCTGCTTCAGTTTGGGCATCCCGGCAGTATCACAGACCTCACACATACCAAATGCGCTTTGTGTGGCGCATATGTATTTGATGCCTCTTTGTACCAATATCTATGTGTTAAAATAAATAAATAAATCTATCCATCTGTAGCTTACTTAAATCTGACTATAAGTATTGAATCACACTTTATGGAATTAAGTTGGCTCACTCACCTCTTCAGCTACGTTTCGTTTTCTCTAGCTCATTTATCTAATCGTCTGTTCGGATCAAAGAGCGTACGAAATATGTGTATTCAAAATTTACTCGCGTATTTATACCCAATGGTAGTTCAGTGAAATGATGATGACTAAAATATTCAATGTTCATTCAAAGGATTTCAAGTGTGAATACAGCATTATTTGTAAAGGTTTGGACAATCGGAGAGTATCATTAGCCGTTGCATATATAGTGTGACTTAAAACAAAATCCTTCAGTTCGTGTGTTATATTGATAGAAGTTGAGGATTTTACGACAAAGTTCATAAAATGAAAACATTTGACCTGATATGATGCATATACATTGCATAGTACACGCATAGGCATAGATATTTCCGGTCTACAGTATATATGCTTAATTTGCAAAATGTTCATCAATTGTCTCAAAATGACTCAGACTTCATTGTTCTTGCATTTCCATACAAATTGCATACTGTTTCCATTCTCTCTGCTGCCAGACCTTCTGTTCACGACTAACATCATCTACTACTTATGTCAATTTGTTTTACAAATCCAAATAATGAAGTTTGTTGGAAAAATTAAAGTAAATAATAGTACAACACCTAGAAATCGGACATATAACTAAATCATTTACAGTAAATTTCACATAGTCGTACTATGATCTTTTGATTATTACTTTATATGTTACAACTACTGACCCATGTTAATTGTTGCTGTCTTTCATTGTGCTCTTTGTAAGGTAGCTTCGTGTTTGTTGATCTACTGGGTTTTAAGTTGATAGTTTCTTAATACTAAAATATGTATATGTATTCAGTTGAAGCGACGACTTAAACTACCTTTACTTACTTTACTTACGCTTAATACTCCTCGTGAAGAAGTATAGGCCGCCCATCAGCACTCGCTATCCAACCCTGTCCAAGTGAAACGACCTTTGCACACAAAATATTTATCTCAGCATAAGAAACATGGACAGAATATGATTCATGATAAAAACACAAACGTAAGTCAGCTGTAAGTATGTAAGTGTGTGTGTGTGTAAGAGAAAGAGTGAGAGAGTTTAATGATCAGTAGTATTCGAAATATTGTGCTCACTAGGAATTCCCGAAACAATACAATTTAAACTAGATAAACACAAACGAACATGTTGTATTTGAAATTCGAAATCAACAGGTAATCAAGTACGAATGAATCACAGAGAGTTTAAACAAACAACAAGAACACAATGTTTTAATGCATATTCCTATCCGATAGTGTATGTGATATTCAGATTGAAAACAGCATTAATGTAATTCAAATGTAAAAGAACATTGTGCATGAATATTTGTTCATGTATTTTAATGATATGAATAAGACGCATACTAAAAACCTTCATTCATATGAAACTATCTAACATGTAGGCCTAAAACTCAAATAACGAATTTGACAAGAATATTTTAAGTCTATATGCGTAATGTGTATGCAGAAGTTAGAAATCATAATGAATAAAAGTAAAAGGTTAATTTAAATCGTCATCATCATCCAAGGCATCATCATCCAAAGCAAAGCATCATTATCATCACCCGAAAATTTATAAGAAACAACGCTTCGATGATGTGATCGATAATCACGATATAATAATTATAAGGTTTCAAATAATCAATATTTATCGCTAAGGTAGATGTGTTTCTATGGCTTGTTTTTTGTTCTCTGAGCTCAAATTTCACATTGTCATCATTAATCATCATAATTAGCTTTTAATATTTTTTTAGAAACTTTTCATTACCATTTTTTTTCAAGGTAAGACTCAGTAGCTAAGTGAATAACTCTATGGCATTTGAAGCGAACGGTACTGGGTTCAAGTTCCGGAATGAACATCAACTCTATGATGCAGACACATCGAGTTGACAAGTATCAAATAAGATAAAATGCGCGTCAAACTGGATTCCATTACCAGTCATCATATATCTCTGCCTATAATCCTTATGACTTAAGACAATATCGAGATAATCCGTACAGTATGTGTATATACCAACAAGGGGACTGATCAGTAACAGTTCTAAACATCCATGAGAGAAGATTTATACAAACAATCATAAATCAACACTGAACACATTTCTTCTTCAACTTGTATTATACATTGGCACATCATTAATAGTGTATTAGAAATGTTATTTGGCATTCTTTATTAAAGTAAATAAACTAAAATCACAGCAGTAGTTCATGATATAAATAACATGACCTATCAGTGAGAAAAATAAACAAACAAAAACAAACAAGACAACTACAAATTTCTATTATATTCATAACATAATCTTCTATTATATACAATTCAATACTACTCATATCGGTGAATATTAATAGTAGAATATGATTCATCATTGTTCTAATCTAGAATACATCATCATAGTCAAGTTCACCTGACAGTCAATAAGTTACCTTAAATAAATCTAAACAACTAAATATAAAATCAAAATGAAAGACAATCAAGTTGAATAGATCAATAGTAATCATAGTATAGTGATGAATAACAGTAATAAAACGAGCTCTTAGCCGTTGTTGTTGGTATTTCTACTTACTTACTTCTGTTATTCCTCGTGGAGGAGTATAGGCCGTCTATTAGCTTTTCTACATCTAATTCTGTCCTGGAAAATCTGTATAAGTTGTTTTCAGCTAGTATTCATCTTCTCAATATCTGCTTCCGATTCCCAAATCAGTGTGTTCTTTGGTTTTCTTATTTTCTGTTTTCCTTCAGGATTCCAAGTTAGCTCTTGCTTCGTGATACAGTTTAGTGATTTCCACAATGTATGCCCGATGTACTTTCAACGTCTTTTCCTAATTTCTTCTGGTTTGTCCCTTCTCCTACAGAAGGCTGTTGCTAATGGTATCCAATCAACGGACATTCAGTATCTT